GGGTGAGCTGTCTCTAGCCCGTTGATGACATCATAGAGTTTGCTGAGAGCCGCAGAGGGATTAGCTCTTGAGCTAGAATACACAGCAGCTATAAACACAGCACTATGCTCTCTGGCTAGATAGTAGGGCCAGCATTTCAGCAATAAAAACTCTACGTCTGGCGAACAGTGCTTATAAACAGTTTTACTGTTTACTACATGGCTGTTGTTAGTGAATTCTTCTCTTTAGTGTCGCATGTTGATGATGAGTTAAAAAGACCCAGAACATTTTACCTGTTTCCTCCCACGCCATCAGCACCGGCTGTTGGTGTGAACGCCACTAACAGCTGCTGTCTGTGTGTCTCAGCTGCAGGAGGAGAACCTGTTGCTGAGGAGAACCGTCAGCGAGCTGCAGAGGAGATCGGATGCTGATGAACATAGGTGAGCACCAGCCAGTCACACAGCCCTAATGAAGCAGTCAGGGACACTGAGCGTTTACCCATCATGCCTCTGTGTCTGTATCTCATCAGGCTGTCAGAGCTGTCAGAGGAGCTGCAGCAGAGGAGGCGTCAGGAGGAGAAGGAGGCTCAGGACCTGGAGGGCATGGTTCACTCTGTGGAGCAGAACCTCCACCTGATGACGGTGCGTTCACTGAACAGCTGTCCGTCTGTGTTCACCTGTCCACAGAGTTGGAAAGGAACTAAGTACATTTATTCAACTACTGTATAATCTGAGTATCACTACTTGAGTATTTTCATTTTCTGCTGCCTCATACTTTAACTTCACAACATTTTACAGTCATCAGATTTTATTGATCCTTGGCAGAAAACTCACAAGCTACCCACCAGTATGTAAAGCATTTCAAATGAAAACTACATACAGCAGTTAGCATTAGCTCCACCTTTACTAGCTGCAACATTAAAAGTGATGAACACAATAATCAATAATTATAGTCCAATGATGTGATGTACATTCATGTGTAATGTGCTGTCCTGCAGAATGAGTAGCCAAACTTTAGTACTTTAAGTAGTTTTGTCGGTAATACTTCTGTACTTTTATTTAAGAAACAATTTGAATGCAGGACTTTTACTTGTAACAGTATTTTTACCCTGTGGTACTGCTACTTTTACCTAAGTAAACAATCTGAGTACTTCTTGTACCACTGCCCGTCTCTGTCTGTGTGTACCAGAAACGAGCAGTGAAGGCAGAGAACAGCGTTTCCAAGATGAAGGTGGAGCTGCAGCAGCTGCAGGTGAGTCAGCTTTATTGATAACTGATCATCTTATCAGATCATTCACATGATTTGAGGAGCTTCAAAAAGAAAAACACCTTATGTGTTTTGAGGACAGTTTTTTATATTTCTGAAAATCTGCCCTTAAAATAAAACGCGTAGTATTTTACCTTTGAATCAGACTCGGCTTTATTAATGTTAAATTGCTCAAACCAGCAGCGAGCGTTGAGCACAGGTGTTTTCTCTTGGCTGTTGTTGACTCACAGATTATAGTTTTTTCTTTCAGTGTCATCACATGTTTGCTTTTCAGAGCAACAACAGCTTCAGTTCATGATCCAAACAGAATCTGTAGAATTGAACAGAAAACCTTCAGTGATGCTGATGTTTTTAGACTCGGTCTGAATGGTCAGTTTGTCCAAGTGTGACCAGGTGTTTCTCTGTCTCAGGTGGAGGTCAACTCCCTGCGGGCGGAAAACGATCGTCTGAAGGCAGCAGAGTCTCAGGTCGTCATGACGATGAGACAAAATGTTCAGGTGGCGTCTGAGTACCTGAACAAGATGTCATGCCACGCCCACTCCTCCATTCGGTCAGCACCTGCCAACAGAGTTAAAGTCGGGGTGAAGCAGAATCGGTGATTTGTATCTAGACACATGATAGTTGCTGAACTGTGGAGTTAAACCGTTAAACACTTTTTCATTAGGTTTGAGTTCAGGATTTTTGGGCGGGGCAGAGCATCGCACTGTCATCCTGGAGCCATCCTTAACATAACCCCTCCCACTACACTGTAATGTTAAAGACCTGGAGCCGTGCAGGGCTCCACATGTAGTTTTAGGGACCCCGGTGAGATGGAATGAAACCAATTAGGAGCAGAGGCATGAAGGACCCTTTCTGTCAAACTTGGTTGCTAGGTAACGCCCCCATGAGTTAAGGCTCCCGGTCAGATCATTTCTGGCCCCGCCCCCTTTTCCACACTCACTTCCACCTAGATTGAAGGGTCATAGAGTTTTATGGTTGCCTCCTCCTTTCACGCCTGAGCATTTTTGTAACCCTAATTCAAAGATCACAGGATTTCACACTTAGGTGATACTGTGCACGTCAGTGGACTTTGTTATAGGGACGACAGAGAGTTCGCACTCGTGGTTTACGGTTTCAGGGTACGACTGACTGGCAACTGCCAGACTCGGCTTAGGAACATTGCTCTCTAAATAGCAATAGGTGTAATGTACAAAACCGCATTGGTTAATGTTTGGAATAAAGCGGCCACTCCTTCCCCCAGGATGGGTTCATGTAGAAATGTTTTTATAAACACTGATGGATGTAACTTGTGAATAAAACAAATGTAACACTCTAAATGAAATTAATATTATACTGACTGGAGACTGCAGTGTGACTGCTGTAGCTCATAGGCCTGAGTAACACAAGGAAATGTGCAAATGTGTGATTCCTGCACCGTTCACATGACTGCTCAGGCGGCGTGTAGCAAGCTCCAAGTTCTAGCCCTGTAAATGATTGACTCCTGCTCCTGTGACACGAACCCTACTGGTAGTTCTGGGCAAGTCATTTCTATATAGCTCACACTTTAAAGTTTATTAGTTCATGTCATCTTATTGTAGTTAAAGGTTTCCACCCAGATCCTACTGTACACCGTCTGTTTGGGCTGCATACAGTGGTTTAGTGATAACAAGTCACACATGAAGCTGCTCTAGCTGAACTAACCTTATTGAAGTTACATTACAGTATGTTCACTAATCATGTTATTTACCTTAAATATTATTAAAACATTGGCAAAAGACAAATAGTGTATTAAAATTTGCAGCTCTGTGGTCGGCTACTTGTTGCTGAGCCCCTGACAGTTACAGTCTGGTGGGGCTAACATCTGTAATGGAGTGACTGTCTCCAGGCGCTTTCACTAATAGTGGACGCTAAAGACCACTGTCTGTGTGTGAACTGATAGTGTCGTAGAAATCTACTGAGTACTAACACATGCATGAGCCTACAAATATCTCAATATGCACATATGCTTCTTTGGGTAACTTGAGTTGTTATAGATGACAGTGAGAGCACTGCCCCCAAAATGCTGTGCATGGCCCTGTTAATTGGCCTTTCTGGGCTAATGGGAAACCCTGATCTGAAGCTGTCCGTCTGTCTGCAGCCAGCTGTTGGAGGAAGCAGAGACTCTCCGCCTGGTCTGTCAGCTGCTCCAGTCCATTGACAAGATCTCCAACCTCAGCACAGAGGCATGAACTCTTCCAGAGCTGCTGTAGGTCCACAGACCAGCACAGCTACTCTAGACCTCCATCTAGACTTCAGACCTCTACCACTTGTCTGACAGACAGGTGGGCATGGTTGTCATGGAAACAGTCCAGAAAGGTCAGAGGCCGGCAAGTCTCAGTCAATCCACCATTTTTTTTCACAAGTGTTTTATTCTGAAAGGAGGACTCACCTGTGCTGAGCCTCTGATGACAGTAGCTGGACGACATGGACAGGTTTTTCATCCTGAGGACACAAACACAACGATCAGTGACGTCATCAGAGTAAATTTTGTTTCTTATTTACAATTAATCTAAACCTGCCCCTTGTTGTTTTCACTCTGCAGCTGTAACTCGCTTCATAATAAAATGTTAAATCAACTGTTTCTGTGGCCTGATGAGAACTAAGACGGGTGGACGTCTGGCTGCCAAGAAAAGAAAAACAAACCCAGTTTCTGTTTGTTTGTCTCTACAACAACAAACCAACAGCCACTGTTCTGGCCTCTGAAAGGAAATTCTCAGTAACAGGAAAATGAAAGTTTAATCTATGGAAAGGTTGTTTTTAATGTCCAGACTCTGCAGATCAGGGTTAGGAGCCAGCTCCTCAGCCCCTTGCTGTGGTGGAAGAAGTACTACAGCAGAAGTACTAATACTACACTGAAAATACTCCACTCCAAGTAAAAGTCTCTATTTTCAGTAAAATGAACTTCAAGTATGAAAAGTCAAAGCAGTCCTGCAAAGAAATGGTCCCTCAGTGTTTCCCTGCTCAGGCACACACAGAGCGGTGCCCCGACGCCATATGAGTATTACATATAGATGTGAGACTCTTTCAGACCCTCTTAGTGCAACTTGACTCTTGCCGACTTACTGACCATAGTACACCCGGAGAATCAAATGTGAGGAGCCCTAGAAGCAGCTGCCCGCTGGGCCGTGGGGTCTCTACCCCGTTCCCTTATCGAGCTGACCTGTCAGGATCGGGCCAGGATCACCTAACAGACCGTTCTCAGTGTGTGACCTCTATAGGCCAGTCCCATGCACCGTGGTAACTTCTCTATCTTTGGGGTGTGTGTAGCTCTAATACTCTGCTGAGTTGAGACAAGGGGGTGGGGGGGGGGCTGGGGGAGGGGTTTGAAGAAGACAGCAGGAGAATTGGTTAAAAGGTTTAATAAAAAATTAAGTTACAAAATTGATTTTCTAAGATACAAGATTAATCTGAACTGAACTAATACAATCAGAAACTATTTCAAAGCAGGTGGACTGCCTGAACCGGCGTTCGGCCTCGCGTCTGGACGTCCAAATACAGGAACTAGCAAAAAGCCTCAAACCTCTCGTCTCTATCACTTTCAATCCTCCATCTCCTCGTGACGATGGACCCACATAGAAACTTGCTTCTTCCTCAAGTGATGGACCACTGATCGCTAGCTCCCTCTGCCCTTCCTGTCAATAAGCTGGTAAAAGAAAACACCCCAAAGAACTTTTTGGTTTAATTTAAAGAAACTCCTTTCCTTTATGGACGCATAGTGGCACCCTGGCTGTTTACTCTTAGCTTTTTTTTTTTTTTTTTGTTGACATAAAGCCTTGGGCCCTGTGATGGATTGGCGACCTGTCCAGGGTGTACCCCGCCTTCGCCCAATTGCCGGCCGGGATTGGCTTTCTATGTTTTTTCAGCTCGCTATGACCTGGATGACTGAGAACCTGTGCAGACAAACCTGTTTTCAGCTTCCTCTTGGGTTCGTGTTGTTTAGATACTGACTTTGTTGTGAAATAATATAAACTAAAATATATCACTTGTTCCTGCACACAATCCTCCTGCAAAGAAAAGCCTGTATTATGCTCACCAGGTCATTTCCTCTGCAGGACCCAACTGCAAAAGAAGGCCAGTTATGGTCACCTGAAAATCTGCAGTTTACTTTCACACACATTTGACAACAGACAACAGAGAGATGCGACTTCATTCAGAAGCCCTTTAATGTGAGAAGTTACTGAGCAGATTCCTTATGACATGAAAAAGGTCACGTTTCAGATTAGTGGTCTCTGGGTCGGGAGGCTTGTTTAGGTCAGAGGTCAGGTTTAGGGTCAGGGGATCGGGAGTCTGGCTTGGCATTGGGCCTTATCTTCATCTCAGTGAACCTGAGCGAGTACTGCCAGCCGGTCCAGCTGGACCACTCAATCCCATCAGCGTAGGAGGCGTGACCTCCTCTCAGGTACTGCCCATTCAGGTTGGAAGTGTGGCAGTTACGGTACCACCATGCCCCCTGGTAGTACACTGCACAGTTGTTCTCAGACTGGTCCTGGTCTTGGTCTTTGGTGGTGAACCGCATCCCAGAGTGCTTCAGAAGGGAATCACCTGGAGTAGACAGAGGTACATCTTTTAGTACTGGGAGTATCTATGGTACAGGTAATACTCTGTAGTACAGCAGTAGTACTAGTTTTGGTACCTGCAGTCCCTGAGTACTGGTCCACAGTCAGTGGGTACCCATCCTCCTCCGGGTTCACTGAGTTCCGACCGACAGAGAAATCTGCATAACAAGCAAAGGCTGTGGCGTTATCAAAGTCGGCCATGTCGATACGTAACTGAAAACCACCCGACCTGGTCAGAGAGTAGATCCTCTGCAAACCTGAGAGACAGACGGGCAGAAAGAGACAAGGTTAGTGACCACAGTGACCACAGCCTGGCCACTGAGACCAGCTGACAAAGGCAAACCCGGAGGCCTAAGAAGGACAGACTGTGTCAGCTGCGTCCACAGAGAACAGTGGAGGAACAGAGTCACCGAGTCTGAGTCTCTCCCTCCCTGACCACCTCAAATTACAACACCTACTTGGAGAAAACCGCATCAGTGCCTTGTTAGCTGCAAAAGTTGTTTATATATGTCACAGTGTAAGGGGCAAGCAGCACAACAACAAAACATAATCTGTAACTACTGACCCAAAACAAACAGATTTCTGTGCCATTTTCTTGATACATATAAATATTAGGACATTTTTATATTCTTGTCTTTTTTATATTTTGCTTAACAAATTTTATAAATTCTTTTTAATAATTGTAATGCTTGCAAATATATTTGCTGTATATATTTGTAATTTGAATGCTAATGCTTTGGCAATACTGTAAACAGTCACGCCATAAAGCTTGGTGAATGGAACTGACAGACGGGCATGAGGGGGCGCAGGTAGAGACGGAGAGACAGACGGGCATGGGGGGGCAGGTGGAGAGAGATAAAC